TATATATATATATATAGTTACATCCCTTTAGGATGTTGGGTCCCGTATAATTTATGGGCTCACACAATCCAGTAGAGTATTTGTTTGAGAAGCTTGTTGAAGAAAGAAGAATAGAGAGGAAACCACCTCCATCTAATTCTTGATCTCTCACTTATTTAGGAAAAGATATGGTTCTAGAGGAGATAAGATCTGACTGACACCCTACTATTAGAAAATTGAGGGTGTGTAATTGACCACTCTAATTTGAACTTTGGTCCACCCCTGGAAAATCTAGTAAAACTATTCAGAGCCAGTGTGTTTATTCTTTAGAAATTCATTTTTTTAGTTTTTATAAATAGGGATATTAATGATTAAGATTTAAGAATGCTTGACAACATAATATATATTCATTTTTTAATTGAGCTCCATTCAGGCTCCATCGAATTGAGTCTTATTTCGATCAATACTAGTCAACTTGAGATTGTGTGAATGAATGAATATATATATATATATATATATATATATTTTTTTAAAATAAAAATAATTGTATTTTATATTCGAAATGAAAATTTTGATTGGTATAAATGTAAAAATCCCTTTAGGATGTTGGGTCTCGTATGATTCGTGGGCTCACATAATCAGTAGAGATTTGGTTTGAGAAGCTCGTTGAAGAAAGAAGAATGGAATGGAAATCCCCTCCCTCTAATTCTTGATTTCTCAGTTATTTAGAAATAAGATTGAGTCCTAGAGAAGACGATGAGTGCTGGTTGAAGGAGATGAGATGCTACCATTTATTAATCTCTACCCCTGGTCCTCCATCATTGTCCAATGCCCGAGAGAAAAAATAAAAGGAATAACAAAGCTTAGACTACACAATACGTGGCTTGTCTACTATGTTTTATAAAAAAGTTGAGGGGGTATTGGTTTCAGGCGAACCACAAATAGATATTGACACATGTCCTGGACTTCAGCGATTGTTTAATCCCAAGAAGTGGTTGCACGTGAGTCACACATCGACAGTTGGTATTGATAGCTAACACATCGACAATTGGTATTGATAGCTCACACATCAACAGGTTAGGTCGATAGACCATCTTGGCTGGCTAATTCAAAAGCTGGTAGCGACAATTGACACATCAACAGGTGATGTCGAGAATGTCCCTCGACAATTGGCACGTGAAGATATTTGTATCTTAGAGAAGATGGACACTTTAGGCCCAAGAGAGTTGTTAACATATGCATTGCCCCATGAAAGTCATTTACGAGGAATCAAGTGATATATATATATAGATCTAAAATGTTAGATAGTAGCTTCTCTATGGTTATCATAATTGAGATTTGTTTATCAAAAACAAATTTTTATCATAAAAAAATTGAAAATAAAGAAGATTTGCATATATTCCACTCGATTCCTATATATTTACTTATCTAACACCTAAAATTCGGTTTTATGTATGTCACATTATTTACACATAAAAGATATAATTCACCATTTAAAAATTAAAATAGTGATATTTTTTTGGGTTATATGAAATATTTGAATAGTATAAATATATATAGTACAATTTATCTAGTTTTTTTATGTAAAAAAAGGATATTTTTGCAAGTAAAATTTATCTGTTAGATATATTACTACATACTAATTTGGTACTAGGTATGTAAATGCCCCTTAAAAATTGAATAAACAATCAGCGGCCAAACAAGTCTTGAAAGTAAAGCAGTGCAAACTGGGGACATTTTGAGATGGGCCGGTTTGCAGTACAGAGTCGCTAGCAATCGCTGCAGACTAATAACAAAGCATGAAATGCCCAAAAGACATCCGGCTCCTGCCACAAGTCTCGCCGCCACCTCTCTCGCAGGACTCTTCGGTCAATGTCGCAGCCCACGTAAGCTCCACCAGATCCATACACAAATTGTCACATCCCCCCTCTTCAACCGCCGCATCGCCGCCTCTCTCATCTCCCGCCTTCTCTTCTTCTGTTCTACCTTCCCTTCTCCCGCTTCTCTCGCCTACGGCTCCATTCTCTTCCATTCTATCCTCTCCCCAACCCTCTTCAACTACAATGCCATTATTCGAATCCAATCCTCCTCTTTCTCCTTCTCAATCAGCCCTCTCTTTCTCTACAACCAAATGCTTGGTGGCAGTATACGACCAGATCACCTTACATTCCCCTTCCTTCTCAAGTTCTGCTCTTTACGGCTCGATGGCAATGCTGGCCAAGCTTTGCATGCCCATGTTGTGAAGCTTGGGTTCCAGCTCGACGTTTTTATTCAGAACAGTATGATAATCATGTACTCCAGCTGTGGACTTCTTGTATGTGCTGAGAAAGTGTTTGATGAAATGCCTCGAAAAGATGTGGTTTCTAAAAATTCAATTTTGACAGGTTATTTGAACTGCGGAGAGATGGATGCTGCGTTGGATATGTTTTCACGAATGGAAGAAAGGAATTTAAGAACTTGGAATTCAGTTATTGCTGGGTTAGTTCACGTTGGTCGGGCTAGAGAAGCTCTGGGTTTGTTCCAGGAGATGCTGTTGTATGACGGGGAGTCTGTTAAGCCTGATAATATTACGATTGCAAGTGTGATAACCGCTTGTGCTTCTATCGGAGCTTTGGATCAGGGGAAATGGCTGCATAGTTATTTAAGAAGGAAAAAAATGGATTTTGATGTTGTGATTGGCACTGCTCTCATAGATATGTATGGGAAGTGTGGAAGTTTGACTAAGGCAAGAGAAGTGTTTGAGGAGATTCTGGAGAAGGATGTTTTGGCTTGGACAGCGATGATCTCGGTTCTTGCGGTGCATGGGCGTGGCGAGGAGGCTTTAGTTCTTTTTGAAAAGATGGTGAGCCTAGGTTTGAAGCCTAATTATGTGACATTCGGCTCACTCTTAAGTGCATGTGCTCACTCTGGCTTGGTGGAAAAAGGACGTTGGTGTTTTGATTTGATGAAAAGAGTTTACTTGATTAAGCCTCAAGTTCAGCATTTTGCTTGCATGGTTGATTTGCTTGGTAGGGCTGGCTTGTTTTCAGAGGCTGAAACTCTGATCAGATCAATGCCGATGGAACCTGATTCTTTTGTTTGGGGAGCTTTGCTTGGTGCTTGCAGGATGCATGGAAATGTGGAGCTTGGAGAAAGAATTGCTGGTTATTTTATGCAAAGGGATCCTCTCAACCATGCTTTTTACATGGTTTTAAGTGACATATATGCGAAAGCAAAGAGGTTTGAGGATGTGAAGAAAATTTGGAACTTTATGAAAGAAATGGGGATCAAGAAAACTTCACCCGGTTGCAGCATGATTGATGTTGATGGCCAGGTGCGTGAGTTTTCTTTTAAATTGATTGAAGAGAAACAACTGAAGGAAATAAATTGGATTTTGAATGGAATTAGTGCTGCCCTGAAATCAGCCGGACATGCGCCCGTTCAAGCTGAATTTATATTTGAATAATCTATTGAAAGTTAACATAAGTTTGTTATTGCGTCTTGTGCTAAACTGTTAAGCTGATACTTCCTGATTAATTTCCTGGCAGCATTTTGTGTATGTGCTAGCAAGTTAGAAGACATCTAATGATCCTAAGAAGATGACTTGGTTTTAAGAAATTTACTTGTTTGTTTAAGCCTAGAACTTTGCTGGATGCTACCTGGCATATCATGGCAATACTAATGAAGCTGGAATCAATTGTCTTTTTTTGCCATAATACTTCTTTAGTTCATTCAAGCTATGATCTTAAACTAGCTGAATTGGATTTTGTTCTCCCTTGGACTCTGTCTGAAACAACTTCATTTTGGTTTGCTTCAATACATTCTTTAATGAATTTTTAAGCTCTCATTAGTACATGTACCCTATAATTGCACACAAAAATATCTGAAATATCTTAAATAGGGAGCAAATAATGAAGGAATTTGCAAGAAAAGTGTAAACAAATTATCAAATATTTCATACTCATCAAATTCCCCCAAACTTGCTCATTACTCACCCCCAAGTAATTTCAAAATCCAAATTCAGAATATTCTTAAGTTTGGTGGTGGCTAGAGATTAAGGATTCAGTGCTCCTTACTAATATAGTAGATATATAAATCTAATTGTTCTTGTTTTTCATTCAGATTGAACTTTCATAATACCTCCTAATATCTCGATATAATAGATATTAATCCCATATCTATATATTCATACTAAATCACTTATGTGAAGCTTGACTAACATAAAATTAATATTTAATCATAAAATTAGTTATTCATTCAATTAAGCAATCTTAATCCCGTTATTTTCTTTTTGAATACAAAGTTTTTTGCTTTAGTTAGGAAAGTTATTGATCATTTGAATTGGAATTTCAGAAAAGAAATTGACACTAATTTTTAATCCGAGTTTCACCTCAAGCTTCGCTTCTAAGGTTCATGAAAATTCTCTTTTTATTATGAAACTTTTCTATGATTTGAACTTTCACATTTATTTATTTATTTATTTCCCTTTTTCTTTTCTTGTTGTTAGGAATTATTACATTTGATGAAGTTCTTTAAATGATTTTGAATTCTAGCCCTCTTCTCAATTAAAATTTTCAATGCTAACCTAAGTTAACTCATAAATTTGTAGTTTAAGAGAAACTAAGAATTAAATTATTTAAATAAAATACTGACTAAATTTATACTATTGAAAAATCAATTTTATATATAGGTAATATTCAACAAGTGTTTAGGAATGATTATAAAGGTAGATAATTATCATCGTTAGAGATCGGTGATTAGTGAATTACTACTCTTTTCCAAATCATTCAGTAAATTCACGTCAATTCTATTTTTATATTTTTCTTATTATTAGTTTGCAATTAGCCTCAATTACTATAACAACCATTATTTAGCAAATTCCAAAGTTAGATTTCTACTTAAAGCCCCCTCCCAAAGTTATTTTTGAAACTATGCATGCAAATATCACAAAAAAGGAAGACGAGAAAAATAAGGTAGAATATGGATACACAACAAAAAGAAATTACAATACAAACAATGGTACATAACACATGTGACTCACATATCCGTGACATACAAGAATAAGTCAATTAACAAGTAATTAACATGAAAGTAAAACATGAAATCATATGCATATAGACATAAATCTAAATAAAAATATGCAAGTACGTGTTCAAGATCTGAAGCATAAGCAAGTCAAATTATAATATCGAGCTCCTAAACTGTGTGAGCGGTAAATGGTTATAGGGATTCTTGCAAGCAAAGCATACTCAAATACAACAAAAAGCATAAGAAAGTACACTAGGTTGCCTTCCAATAGGCGCTTAGTTTAATTTCTTATGCGTGACTGTGGCCGCTCGTTTTGCACCGCCGATCTTCATTTTGTCGGTTGCTTGATGTCTTCGCTGTTGTTGAGGAGTCACTGGTTTGTGTTCCATTATGTTGCCCTCTTCTCTGAATACTTCTCCGTCTTAGATCATGTGGGTAAACTAACAGGTGAGAAATCGAAGGACTGCGACAGGCAATCACGGAAACAAACAAAAAAAGTGTAAAAGAAGCCTTCATAAAGTGAATTTTCAGATTGATATTTCCAAAGATAAATCTAATTTGAGATTAGCTCAGTGTGCTTTAAAGGAACTATTGCAAGGGAAACCTTACGAAAGTTAACTACTAGAGAATTCGGGTTGATATACCTGTTTTAGGGTTCATATCCTCCTATAAGGACAAATCCCTATAGTTAATTACATCTTAAGTAGTCAAGACTACTTAAGAAAACTCCCCAATTGAGGTTATAATATTCTCAAAAAGTTTAAGTGTCGTTGTTAAGGAAAGGAATGTCAAAGTCCTATCCAAAAGGTAGCAGATTTTTAAAAATTATGAACAACCCTATAATGTTGTTTTGTCGTTAATGGTTTAGTCGAGGTTCATCCTTTTGTTCCAGGTTTTGAATGTTCGTCTCTGCAAAACCGAGTAAGCATGCCCTAATAACATGCAAAGTAAATCTAGGGTGATGTCTGCCTTTTGTTTTTAACAACCCTGCAAAACAAAGTCAATAGAAAATTATATTTTTGATAATTTAGTTTATTTTTTAATTTTTAATTTTTAGATAACACGATCAAGATGTTCATGGCTCTGTTGTTCCAGGGTCATTGGGAACCTTGGTTTACTTAGTCTGAGAGGTGGTCAAAACTACTCTGACTAGAAGATTCTTGTCAGCAACCACGGATTGTGTCGTCCAAGAGATCTTCGTAGATCCAGGTATAGGGGGTTTAAGTTGCGTTCAATGATTTTTGTTCATTATAGTTTCATGTAAGTTTTGATGCCTTTTTTGGATTTTAACGGTTGAAAATTTTAGACTGCTTAAGACTTATTAGACGATTAAATTGTTTTATTTTGTCATTGTGTTTTCTTTTTGTTGTTTGGAATGACCCAGTCAAGATCCCATGGTTTCGCCGTCCCGAGGTTATTGGGGTTTGCAGTTTGATTAGTCACAAGTGACTGGAAGATATTTTTATTAGCAATCATGGGTTGCCTCGTCCAAATATCTTCTCAAACCATGTTGCATTTTAAGTTTGGAAATTAAGTATTAATATCTCTTAGGGTGAATTTTATGTCCTTTTACTTAGGTTGGTTTGATACTTTAGCCCAAATTGTCCTTGACTGGGGCTAAGTGTGTTGTTGTTCTTGCATGAGAAACTCTGCTTAAACTTCAACCACCTAGATTTAGGTTAATTTTAGATTAGTTTAGGTTGAGTTAAACTAATCTACTGATGAGTCTCCGGGTGATCTGAGTTAACTTGAATTAGGATGGTTGTCTCTCAGATTATCTTCAATTTATTTAAATCGATTAAAATTTAGTAGGATTGACCCAACTTGGGAGCAAACCAGGTTGAACTAGATTGATCCTAATTATACTCTCTAGGTTGAATTAATGTTAAGTTAAATTAGACTTGATTGAAGTCTAAGTTAATTTAGACTTGAATTATTTATTTAAATCTAAGTGGTTTTAGAATTAAATTAATCCTTGATTAAACTGAGGTTGAGACTTAAGTCAAGTTTAACGTTGAGTCTTAAGTCAGGTTGATCAGAGTTTAGTATGAATTTCCTGAAGATAAGTTGTTTTGGATTAGCCTTAGTTTAGGTTGGCCCAGTGGGTTGAGTTGATTTTGGGTTAGCTTGAGTTAGGTTGGGTTGGCTCTGAGATTAGGTTGACCCGAGCTGGGTCGGGTTGATTCAATGATTTAGTTAGGTTAACCGGAGTTAGGTTAGTTGACCCGATGGTTCAATTGAATTGGGTTAACCTGAGTTAGGTCAGATTGAATTGGTGATTCAGTTAAATTAGGATAAGCCGAGTTAGGTCGGTTTGATCAAGTGGTTCGGTTGAATTGGGTTAACCCGAGTTAGGTTGGGTTAACACGGTGATTCAGTTGAATTGAGTTAACCCAAGTTAGGTCGAGTTGGCTAGGTGATTCAGTTGAATTGGGTTAACTCGAGTTAGATTGGGTTGATCTAGTGATTCAGTTGAATTGGGTTAACCCGAACTAGGTTGGGTTAACCCTGTGATTCATTTGACAGTTAAGTGTTGATCCGGTGATTCAGTTGAATTAGATTAACTCGAGTTAGATTGGGTTGACCCAATGATTTAGTTGAATTGGGTTAACCCAAATTAGGTCGGGTTCACCTGGTGATTCAGTTGAATTGGGCCCAAGTCAAGTTAGGCACAAGAGAACTTGAATTTGGCCAAGTCCAAGTTAGGTTGAACATAGGTTAGGTCTACATTGGGTTAAACCTAGAGGGAGTTTGAATTGATATTTAGGTCTAAGTCAAGTTAGACCTCAAGGCTGACATTAGGGCTAGTTTGGATTAGACCTAAAGGACCTGGGCTAGGTCTAAGTTAGGATAGGCCTAAGGTTTGTGTTAGGTCTAATGTTGAATAGACCTAGAGTTTAGGTTAGGTCTAATGTTGATTAGACCTTGAGTTTGGGTTAGGTTAGGTCTAAATTAGGTTAGATGGGTTAGGTGGGTTAGGTCTAATATGAGTTAGACCCAAATGTTGGGTTAGGTCTAATTTGGGCAAAAACCTAGGGTTAGGGTTAGGTAGAACTAAAACTGAATACATGAATGTAATTTTAGTAGTAATAACTCTAGTGACAGAAGTGTGGCTTTGGGTGATCAAATTATTAAAAGGTGTGAACGATTTAGATATCTTGGGTCTGTTGTCCAAAGCGATGGTGATATAGATGGGGATGTTAATAGTAGAATTCAAGTTGGTTGGTTGAAGTGGAGGAATGCTTCGGGCCTTTTGTGTGATAGAAAAGTACCGCTAAGACTGAAAGGAAAATTTTATAAGACGGTGGTGAGACCTGCAATGCTCTATGGCGCTGAATGTTGGCCTTTAAAAGAGAAGCATAATAATAAGTTAAGTGTTGTCGAGATGAGAATGATTAGGTGGATGAGTGGCTTTACACTTAGAGACAAAATGCGGAATGAATATATTCGTGATAGGGTTGGCGTAGCTCCTGTGACAGACAAAATTAGAGAAAGTCGTCATATTAAACGTCGACCTTTAGATGATTCGATTAGGAGAGTAGATGTTTTAAATTCGACTAGTGTTAAGAAAGGCAGAGGTAGACCTAGGAAGACTTGGGCTTATTGTATTAAAAATGATCTTAATTTACTAGAACTAAATGAAAATATGACACTATATAGGACGCAATGGAGAAAAAGGATTCATGTAGACGTAGTGGGATTAAGGCTTTGTTGTTGTTGTTGTTGTATTTGTTATGTGCTTGTATGTGAAAATCTAATCATTTTTTTTAACTTTTTGGTTTCTCATAGGTTTGCATCAGAATAGCATCAGAAAGTCAGAAGCAAACTACAAGTCCTGGAAGGACAATAATTAATAGTAGCTAACAGTATACCAACAAAAATCAATAGTAGTCGACAGTATGGCGACGCAAATTTGCGTCGGCTATAGTCGACACAAATTCTACTCAAATTTTTGTCGACCTGTAGCAGATGCAAAAAGCAACAACAATATTGTGTCGGCCTTATATTAGATAAAACTTGGCAACAACACTAATTATGTATGCTAACTCCGACGCAAACAAATGTTGGATGCAAAGTTCAACACTACTACATTTACTGACCCCAAATTTAATGACAGATTATTTCCGATGCAAAGGCAACACTAATCTTGATTAGCATAAGATATTTGTTTGATTAGTCGACGCTAAACAACTAAAATCGTATATTGTTGCTACAATAGTAGTTAATGGCTACAAAATGCATAGTAGGTGGCTATAATAGTTGTAGTTAATTGTAGCGGTTGCTGGAGGTGGTTGATAGTGTCTTTTGGTGGCCAACTGAGAACATTTGTGGTTGCCAGTGAACTCTAGCAACCAGAGACAAATTACAAAACTTCAAAATTTAAGCTTTAGTGGTCAGCTCGCTCGCTTCTCTTCTTTCTCATTCAAGTTAAGAATGATATAATTTTCAAAAAAATTATTTTGGTGAATTTAGCCAGGATCTTAATAAACTCCATCAAACAGTTGAATTTGATTTCCTTTATCACAAATAATTTTTTTTTACATTTAAGTGCTTTAAAGACCTCGATATAAGATGATTTTAGGCTCGTTGAATCCCTCTCATCGAGCCGCTCGATTTCCCTATAAGCATGCCAACTTTTGAGATTTTTTAGCCCTCCAATCGATGCAGTGAAGTCTTTAATTATATTTAACATGTTTGATCTTGATATATTTGCACTTATATTAGATCACTTTCAACAACATTATGTTCGTCTTGTCAAGATGCTCAGCTTGATTACAAACTTGTTGAACATAAGGTTATGATGATCTAGAATTTGAATTTGGAAACTTTCTTACTTAAAATTCATTGAGATTCATGCTTGATGGTAGAAATTTATGGATATTTATGGATGGCATATCAATCTTAAAATTGAAACCAATGTTCAAATGTGAAATTCCTCTCATCATGATCTAGAGGGGTCCACAATGTTTGTAATGAGCAGTAGGTCATCGGTGTTTACAGTGGGCAAGAGGTTAGTTAGTGGGAAAGAGAAGAGGGTTGGCACATCACACTTGGCGTTAATCTATAGTGGTATAGCTGAGAGTGGGGATTCAACTGAGCAAAAGGAGAAGGGTTTATGATAATGACATGGTTTGATCAGGAAAAAGGAGAAGAAACAATAGGAAGAAATATTTTTGTCTAATTGGTCATTTAGCAACAGTTTTAACTTTAACGAAATTGCAGTAGTTCTACTCCTGCTTTGTTAATAATATAACAGTTGTTTATACTCCTAATACATAACATTTTTGGCAACAATCATAAAATCTTTGCAAAAATCATTGCTTTCAATATAGTTTTTAATAGTATATAGAAATGCGGGGAGATTGAGCAATTCAAATTTTTAAAAGAAAGAAATAACATATGCACCACATAATTTTTATGTATTTATATATCTATCATATAACTTTTAATATTTATATGCTTGACTCATAAATTTTTAATTACATGAAAAATGACACTACTACCAACACTCTTTTATCCATATACTTGATATGAATAGGATAAAATAGTATTATATAAGCAAATATTAAAGTTTAAATGTTTGACATGCAAATACAAGTGCCCACTAGAAATTAAAAAGCCTAAACCAGCCAATAATAAATAATACAACTACACTTTATTTGGATTTCATTTTGTTTCCGTTTTTTTTGCTTTTTTTCCAATCAAAGCTAAGGTACAGTCATATGTTTTTGTTTTGCACAAATCACCAACATAATTAATTGGTATTTTTATTTTTTGATTGTTAAGCTTCGAGTATGAGATTTTTTGGTGCGAGAGAAAACGCCCAGTCATGCCACCATCATCTAAGATCAGTATGAACATGTAGTCCTTGATCTATGTGAAGAGTTATCATAGTTTTATAACGAACATCATCACGCTGGCAGCTAAGCCTAAATTTGAAGAAATGGAGTAGGACTGCTGCGAAGATCTTCATCTGTACATATGCAAAGTCCTTTCCCAAGCAGATACGAGGTCCAGCCTGCATCACCATGTTGAACTCACAGCTTGAAAGGTATTGGACACAACAAAAATTATGAAAATAAAAGTTGATCAACTTTTGACAGTTTATTTTTTGTTTTTTTACCTGGAATGCTGTAAACTTGAAAGGACTTTCATTGCGAATTGAACCATCATCATCTATCCATCTCTCTGGCTGGAAATTTTCAGCATCATTACCCCAAAGCTCTTCCATCCTGCCCATGGCGTAAGGCATGTAGAACACAACATCTCCTTTATTAACATTAAATCCATCAGGTAAAGTGTCATCGGAGAAGCAGCTCTTCACCTCCTGCATAAATCAATAGCAATAAGGGATTATGATATTTTACGAAAAATATATAAATTATTGCGTAGAAGGGGTTTTTACATATCAAGTTATGATGGCATGTAAATAACATAAATTAATAGTACGATTTTGCAGAAGCATACCAATGGAACTGCTGGGAACAATCTTAGAGTTTCGGATAATGCAGCATGAAGGTACTTCATTTTATCAAGAGCTTCTTCAGTTATTTTCTCCATGAACTCATTGATACTAATGTCTTTCTTTGCTTGGGTTGCTTGTTTCACTTCTTGGAATATTTTTTCTTGCACAGCGGAATGTTTACAAAGCAAATATAAGAACCAAGACAGCGTTCCTGCTGTGGTGTCTTTGCCAGCTATAACAAAGTTGAGTGTGATGTCTCTCAAATACTCAAAAGTTATATTTTCTGGGTCTTTCTCCATTTCTGTCATCAATCTTGACAGAATGTCTTCTTTCTTTTCCTACGTATAGGATAATAAATGTGAGCTATATCAAATTTGTATTATGCCAAACATATATATGTATATAAAGGAATGGCCGGAGGCTATTATACGAGCCCCGGCTATCCCTTATGTGCCTAAGAATTCGAGTACCACACCCTACACTCGGGGGGAATTGAACCCCAGACCCGAGGGGACTTACAACTAACAAGCAGATGTCCGACCAACTGATCTGAGTACGCTATATATATATATATGAAAAGGAAATCGGTATTTGGCAGAGGCCCAAATGCCGATTTTCCATGTGCTAGGCCCCTTGATAAGAGCCCGCTCCATGTGCCTAAATATTCGAGAACTCAGCGTCACTGGGGATCAAACCCGTGACTTGAGGGGACTTACAATGAACCCTGCCAACCAACAGACCACGGCTTGGCGCGCGCGCTCGCGCACACACACATATACATATATATAAGTATGAAAAATAGACCAAAATTATACCAAATTATTTTTCCCAGAGTTTATTTGCTCATTCTTAGCACGAATCAAGTTGTAGATGAAGTCATTAAGAACTTTGATGTCTTCCTTGAATTTCGCCTCACAGCCAATGTTGAAAAGCCTTTTAATTTTCCAGAAAGGATCAACATACCGTCTTATGGTGTAGACACTTAGGTTATCAAAAGCCTTGGTAAATTTAACTCCATCAACAGACCCATCCAAGTTCTTTAGGTCGAATCCGAACCCAACTTTAAATATTGAGTCCATTGTGGAACTCATAAATAGTTCCTGCAATGTCAACAAAATGCTTTCAGCCTACCAATTAAAAACAAAAATTGATTTTTTTTTTAATGCTACTGTAATCAAAGTTATAGAACTTCATTGAACTCCTTGATCAATTTATAGATTTTTGCGACAAATAAAAGTATAATTTTTAAAATAATTAAGTAACCTGAATATCCATTGCCACATTGGATCTGGCTTTCTCAGAAATCATATGGGCAAGTTTTGCTGCATTTGTTTTGAAAACACTGCTATTATAGTTCCTCAAAGCTCTTGTAGAGAACTCAGAAGTAGCTAATTTTCTCTGATGATGCCATTTTTCACCATCTACTCTGAAGATTCCATCTCCAAATAATTCTTTCAGATTTTCATAATTTATTTGTCCCTGAAATTTGATAAAATGATTCATAAATTTATGATGCACTCCTTTCTTATTATGAGTATACATTAAGTTGCAAAATATTAATTAAAAAGGTAAAATTGTGGAGATGAAGTATATCAAATTTCGTGCATGGAAGCCAACATTTTGTGTCATTTGTAGGACGTTAAGACATGTATTCCTAACTAGTTTTATATAAAAGAAATAACAATCCAGGCAAACATAATAGTTTAGACCGCAATACCTTACTCAGGGGAAAAAATTACGTACGTACGACTTAGGCAGCGCTGCATACGTCAATAGGTCACAGAGAGAATATTGGGAGGTTATAATTGCGTTATACCCCCTTGTAACATCTTTGTACCCTACCTGTAACATTCAAGTAAGTTTCGCAATTCTGTTTTTATATATTTGTTAGTTACAGTAGGTTACAGGGAGGTTATAAGGGGTATAATGCGAATATAACCCTCAATACCCTTCTAGACGTACGTCTTACATATGCAAATTTTTTCCTTTACTCAAGGGGCGCTAAAGATAGTTTTTAATTTTTTACATTGGACATTTTTTTTTTTAACTTTTTTAATTGGATATAACTTTTTTTTTCATAAAATTTTCTAGTGAAAAGAACCCTTTTGCAATTTGATTTATTAGAATATTACAGCTGAATGAAAATTATTGGCAGTCCGTTTAAAAAAAAAGAAAAAAATTATAAATCTTACTTTAAATATAATAATTCTACAATTAATTATATAATCGGCGCAACTCTTAAAGAACTATTAGGCTATGGCTTTGTTTGATTGAATTTTTGCTTTTAAATTATGATGTTCGAAAAATGTTTTTGAAAAAAATAGTATTTTAGATTACAAACTTAAGACTATGAAAATGGAGTTTTGTGGAAACTTAGGGTCCGTTTGGGGCAGCTTATAAGTGCGGGCGGCGTTTTCAAAACACCGCTGTACTGTTTGGTTCGCGTGTTTCACTAGCTTATCTAAAACTGCGTTTGGGTTTTTACACTAAACGCAGGCCGCGGGTCGACCCCTGCGGCCGGCCCGCAGGCCTTATTTCAAGATAAACAGCTTATCCTGAAACGCACAAGCTGTCTCAAACAATATTTTAAATTACAACAAACAGTTTGACAAATGAATAAATGATATTTCTAAATGGGAAAGCATTAAAAAAGTTATTTCAAATGAGTCCTCTATTTCTAGAAAGTATTTCGTATGAATACGACACATACGAACAATGATGGATAGGAAGATCACATCACATACAACTGAATTTGTGGTGATGTGTCATCTCTTCCATCATCGACCATTAATTCACACACAATAATTTTCTTATATTTGTAGTTGCGGATGCTTTGTGAGTATGTATATATCTACATGTATGTATGTATCTATGTATATATATATTGATTCCTCCGGACAGGGACTCCATCTCAATCGATTTTTTCGTTTTTATTATTTTTTTTCTACTGGTTGTGCAGAAGAGAGACTCGGTCTAATCTAAGCAAATTAAGCTCTTTCTAAAACGCAAAAAATTAGAAGAAAGATACATATTGATGGATGGATCACCTTGCCATAGATTTTGAACTTGGTCTTTAGTATGTGCTACATGATTGCTGGGTCAGTGGTATAGATAAGTTAAGAAAAGGAGCATATAATCTGAAAGATTATATTTTCGAGAGAGATCTGTGAGGTAGTCAAGCAATCTGCTAAAATTTACAAGCTTATGATATATAGTTCCAGCAATTGGATGGTATGTTTTCCTCCCTTTCTTCAACGAAAAACCATGGCTTACAAAGATTTTGATGGCAACCAAATTGAGCTGAAGTCGTGTGATTAGAGGAATGAAGAGAGCTATGTGAAGATAGAATGCCTCAGCTCGTCTGAGATGAATGGTTTGAACTTGTTGAAGAAGAATGAACGGTGCTTATGTTTAAAATTAAATTTTATTTAAATTCTAGAGAATTGTTTTATGAGAAAGTTCTAGAATATTCTAGAGATATATTTTAAAGGAGTGGTTTAGAGAATTCCAGAATGTGTAATTAATGAATTTTGTAAATGAATATAGAAAAAAGTTGTAGATAGCCAATAGTAATCATTCAATTAAAATGTGTTGACACAATCCTAATGAGGTGTCGCTAGTATAAATAAATGGGGTGTGTTTGAGTTTTGTATCAAATATAATCAAGAAATAAAAGAGAAATAAAAATAAGTTTTTCAAGTTATTCCTCTTCTCTTCTTAGCCTTCCTCCTCTTATAATAGCCTTCTAATTTCCAACAAAGTAGTATCAGAGCCAAATTTTCTTTCTAGAGAGATGACGAGCAAATGTATGATTCCCTTCCAAGTCCCAACGCTTAATAATAGCAACTATGACAATTGGAGCATCAAAATAAAGACTTTTCTTGAAATGCAATATGTATGAGAAATGATAAAGAAAGTCTAGAACGAGCTACAAGATGAGTCAAGTCTATCCAAACTCAAAATGATAGCCTAAGATATTCGAGGAGGAGAGACAAAAAGACGCTCTATCTAATATATCAAGGATTAGATGATGATGCTTTTGAGAAGATTTATGATGCAAAATCTGCAAATGAGGCATGGGAGAAACTTCAGACCTCTTATAAATGAGCGAAGCAAGTCAAAAAAGTTGCATCTCCAAATATTAAGAGGTGAGTTTGAATCCTTACATATGAAAGAAGATAAATTCGTCTCTGACTACTTTACTAGCGTCTTAGTGGTTTCTAATCAACTAAAAAGAAATTGGTATAAGCTGGAAGATGTAAGGATTATGAAAAGATCCTTCGGTCTTTAGATTCAAAGTTAGATCATATTGACATCATCATTGAAGGAACCAAAGACTTGAGGTCTATGACAATCGAGCAGCTCTTGACTTCTTTACAAGCCTATGGAGAAAACAAAAAGAAGAAGCAAGTCATCACAGAACAATTCTGAAGACAAAAATTAATTATTTGGTTAAAGAAAAGAGCCTCAAGTATGACTGAAGTCAAAAAGAAAGATGTCGCGGTCATGGAGGTGGATGGGATTGGAGTTCTAATAATGATGATGATAATAATACCAATTTTGGATGAGGAAGTTCAATAAGAGTGCACGGAAAAGGAAAATCAAGGCCAAGGTATGATAAATCTTAGTGAAGTGTTACAATTGTGTAATTTTGATCACTATGCTGCAAAATATAGAGCTCCCAATAACAACAAAGTTGATCAACATCTCGACAACAGGCTCTTAGCACTATGACGCTCATGCATAGCACTGCAGCGGAATCCAACAGTAGTGCAATTATGTCAAAAGCCCTAAGATGATGTTTTAGAGACATGAAGCACCTTAACTAGCACAATCGTGCCTTCATCAAGTGACTTGCATCATATTGTTAGCGCAACAATGTCCTCACTGACTTAAGGTACTTTTTGGTGATTTTTTTAAAGTTTAGCCCTGAAAGAATAAAAATAATAAAATTCATCACATAATGATGATTTGGATGGGGGAGGTACTCGAAGATCTAAGGAGAAGACACCAAGATAGAGAGAGAGAGAGTGTGTGTGTGTGTGTGTTCTTATAGTGTGTAAGAAGTGTACTTTATTTATTAAAAGTGTGAGAAAGTAAATCTAAGTTGAGTGACATTGAGAAAGGAAGAATCATATTAAAGCAAACCAAGATTAATATCAGGTTTGATTGTTCATTATTTGTGTACACTTTTATTTTGAATTTCAATAGAATTTGCTTGGTTTTATTTTCACATATTTAGGAGCTAACTAATTTATGATTCTTTGATTTGGTAGTATAATGAATCATGTTCAATCAATAAGATTTCCCTAAGACTATTTTGTTGTTTTAAATGCATGTCTGAACTTAGTTTATTTTTAATTTGGCTACTTAAAATATTAAAAAATCTTTGCAATCTAATACTATTGATTGTAGGCTAGAAAAAAAATGTTAGTTAACACCCACTCACTCGGTGGAATAGAATTATTGCTTTTAGGGGACATAATCATGAAGGGCTGATAGAAAATTTTTGAACTAGACTAAGGTTAATAAAATTGTACTTTAAATTATTAAAATTAAGAAAATTTTTCGTGAGATCGATATACTGACTCATAATTCACATTCTACTTAATTGACACGCATACATGTGTGATATCTCATGTTTTACAACATTTTGGGGATCAATGTTTTTGGCACTATTGCTAGGGAACGATATTAATTTTTCAAATTATGGGAACACAAGTAGAGAATTTAAAATCCATATTTGGAAATTATAATGTTATCCTTATTATTGTACATTTTATTATTTAAATTTTGTTGTATTATTTTTCAAAAGTATAAAAATCCATAAAATTTTGTGGATTTTTTAATGTTATTTTTTGTAATTTATTTGCTTAATTTAGTTCATGTTATTTGTATTCTTGTTTCTTATTATGAATTATTAATTTAGGGCCATTTTTTAGTCCAAGGTTTTATGTGTGTGAGTGGATTATTTGAATTAGTACCATTTGACTCTCAAATTTCAAAAGAGAATTACTAAACAACTTTATAATTTTGTAAAATTGAAAAGATTTAAGGAATGATGACAGATAAACAAGGAGAAAATGACTAGACCACTTATGGTCTTTGTTAATCCTTTGGTAGATGAGATTCCTTATAACTCTTTCATTGAAGTTAATACTTTTGAATTCAAACTTGCCATAATTCAGAGATTCACCAACTAAATTCCTAAATTTACACTATTTTTTCTGAAATTATGTTAGACTTTAGGTATAATTGCGAGACTTATAGGTATAATTGTGTTTTCCCATTTTACTTGAAGATAAGGCGGTGTGACTTAGATTGTTAGCACCAGGATCCATAATTACTTGAAATGTCTTGTCCCAAAAATTCCTAGCAAATTATTTCCATCTTCTAAAATTGTCAAACATATGAATGAAATTATATCCTTCACCAAGATAGATATTGAGTCAATTTATAAAGCCAAGAAAATATTAAAA